CTTCCCGTCGAGGCAGCAGTATCTTCTGCTGTTCGTCGCGAGCGGCAGTGACGGATAACACGCGAGAGTGAGACGTGTTCGCGGAGAACGTACGCAGCCTCTCTTCTCCCCCGAGATGTATTCCAAGACCATGAGCAACCACCAGGCGAGCAAGGAGCACGTGCTCGCCGTGTCCCGGGACTTCATCGCGCAGCCCCGTCTCAGTGAGTACCGTCCGGGCGCGTCGACGGGGACGCGGGGCATCCGCGATTGGGCGTAGCATCTGATCGATTCCTCCAGCCTGGCGGTCAGCTGATCGCCTCGCCTCTGCGTGTCTCTCTCTCTCGGCTCGATCTGTCCGATCTCGCAGGCGAATCGTTCTCGCCCGTCGTTACCCGCGAGGAACGTCCCGCGGAGACGGTTCCTCGGAGGCGGACGCGCGTTTCTTCCTTTCGTTCGTTCCCCGAGGCCGCCTCGAGCCGCCAGCGTCATGTGACAACTCGTGCTCGCGCGGGCGCCCGTCGGTCGCGCTTTTCCCACGAAATCTGGAGACGGGCTACTCGCGAGTCCACGGGAACGCGAGGAGACGGCTCCCCCGCACCTGCCGGTCTCCTTAACTCACGGGTATTTTAAATCCCCTGCGGTGTTTTCAGCCGTGGGCGTAACCCGCGTCATTAGCGGCCGCGCGATGCAACGCAATCAGGAAATGTATAAAGGCTGGACGGATGCCGGATGAATATTACATAACGTCGGTTTTGGAAGACGTAATGAGGAATGAAACACAAGTAAAAGGGGATGGATATTAGTTGCACTGTACCTTTTATTTCATTGAAATGAGTCGTACAAGTATCGATTTGTGTATCAGTTTTATATGATGTACATACCAAAATGAAATATCAAGCTAAGAGCACTTGGGAGACGTGCAAATTTTATCACCTGACGGCAATTTGTTAGCATAAAGTATTTGGGTGTGATGTTCCCAATATTTCTATATTTTTAATCGCGCCTTCAGATTAGAAGAACAGTTAGAGAAAGGGATAGAATGCAGAATGAAATTCTGGTCGGTGATTAGCTTGCGTTTTCTTGCAGCTTACAAGACGGTGTCCGGAGTGAACGGGCCGCTGGTGATCCTGGATGAGGTGAAGTTTCCAAAGTACGCCGAGATTGTGCAGCTGAAGCTCGCCGATGGCTCCCTGCGCTCCGGCCAGGTCCTGGAGGTGTCCGGTTCCAAAGCGGTGGTCCAGGTCTTCGAGGGCACGTCCGGCATCGACGCGAAGAACACCCACTGCGAGTTCACCGGCGACATTCTGCGGACCCCGGTGTCCGAGGACATGCTGGGCCGCGTCTTCAACGGCTCGGGAAAGCCGATCGACAAGGGGCCGCCGATCCTCGCCGAGGACTATCTGGACATTCAGGGCCAGCCTATCAATCCCTGGTCCCGTATCTATCCGGAAGAGATGATTCAGACCGGGATCTCGGCCATCGACGTTATGAACTCCATCGCCCGTGGCCAGAAAATCCCCATCTTCTCGGCTGCCGGTCTACCGCATAACGAGGTATGCCTTTCTTCTCGCTTGCTGCCGAGTTATTCGCGCACACGATTGATGCACACGCCTTCCGAATTCAGCTTTCATTTATGGCAACGATTCTGTGCCTTCGATTCAGATTTAATTCTCGGGTCTTTTTGCAGATTGCCGCGCAGATCTGTCGTCAAGCAGGTTTGGTGAAGGTGCCCGGCAAGTCGGTCCTCGACTCCCACGAGGACAATTTCGCCATCGTGTTCGCGGCCATGGGTGTCAACATGGAGACCGCGCGTTTCTTCAAGCAGGACTTCGAGGAGAACGGCTCCATGGAGAATGTCTGCCTGTTTCTGAATCTGGCCAACGACCCGACGATCGAGAGAATCATCACGCCCCGTCTCGCCCTGACAGCGGCCGAGTTCCTGGCGTACCAGTGCGAGAAGCACGTGCTGGTCATCCTCACGGATATGTCCTCGTACGCCGAGGCGCTGCGCGAGGTCTCGGCCGCTCGCGAGGAGGTGCCGGGTAGACGCGGTTTCCCCGGTTACATGTACACCGATCTCGCCACGATCTACGAGCGTGCCGGCCGTGTGGAGGGACGCAACGGCTCCATCACGCAGATCCCGATTCTCACTATGCCGAACGACGACATCACTCACCCGATTCCCGATCTTACCGGGTACATCACCGAGGGCCAGATCTACGTCGATCGTCAGCTGCACAACAGGCAGATCTATCCGCCCGTGAATGTGTTGCCGTCGCTGTCGCGTCTCATGAAGTCCGCCATCGGCGAGGGTATGACGCGAAAGGACCACTCCGACGTGTCCAATCAACTGGTGAGTCGCCGTGAATCACGAGAACACAATTACAAGCGAAATAAAAATTATAACATTCCGCCGCACAGTTTCCTTCCCTGCGGCTTTTCGAAAAATACATTCGTGTAATTACTCTTTTACAATTCCAAATGTATCTTTCAGTACGCGTGTTACGCCATCGGTAAAGACGTCCAGGCGATGAAAGCCGTCGTGGGAGAAGAGGCGTTGACGCCGGACGATCTGCTGTACTTGGAATTCCTGTCCAAGTTTGAGAAGAACTTCATCTCGCAGGGCAGCTACGAAAATCGCACGGTCTTCGAGTCGCTGGACATCGGCTGGCAGCTTCTGCGAATCTTCCCCAAGGAGATGCTCAAGCGAATCCCAGCCAGCACCCTCGCGGAATTCTATCCGAGAGACTCCCGTCATTAATCACCGGTTTATTTGTCTCGCCTTATGCGTAAGCTTATTTTAATGGAATTGCGCGTACAAGTTCGATTTGCCTTCTCTTCGACATTAATTGGAACAAAGCATGCCACTTCTTGCGCAAGAAAGATTCGCAAGAACGGTCGATGTAACGATGACAAGAGAACAATTGAAAAACACTTACACTTTCGGATAATAAGGGGAAAGAGAAGAGATGAAAGAACGCGTCTGTTACAGGCTATTTAAAAAAAAAATTTGTAACGTTACGAGCTTACAAAATCGTATATCGGTCTTTGATGTTGTGCAATGAGAGTATAAAACGGAGATAACAACGATGTCGACATGTAAATGGAAAAATTGCGAATGATTTATTCCGGGGGAATCTTGCATGCAAGAGTTGCATGTTACAGACCCGGGACTACATATGTTATCTTTATCATGGAAATAATAAACACTACATATACTTATATTGTTTCAATATTTAAAGCATGTGTCTTTTGTGCTTTGGAGCGACGACGCTCAACTCACGCCAAGCAATCATTGTAAAGTGTAATATATCGTACAGTATTAACGTAGACGAAAAGCATAAAGTAATCCACGATCGCGGGGTATTCTGCGTTCCCGACATTCCACTGCGAAATTCACACATATAAGATTCTTTATGCGTTTGAGCCAGTCCGAAGGAAAGATGTTTCAACACGATATGTACAGTTACCTATAGAGAATGTTCTGAGCGAAACATTATCGTGTATTGTCTCGCGAGAGACAACTGTATATGTTAGATATAGAAAATTAAAGGAGAATTGTTGTCTTTGAAGCGCTTCGTTTATTTAAATGCTGCTGCGTTCGCTCCGTCCTGGTCGGTTAATTTTTTAAATCGATTATTAAACTTCCGCCTTTTTCTATATCCGTAATTAGCGAGCGATCTTTAGATCTTGCGATCAAACCTCCGTCTTTTTATTTCCAAGTTCGCAGAATTTGAAGGTGTCAGACGGAAAAAAAACATCTTTGCTCAGATGCAGCTGCAATTGTGGTATGTGTGTTGCTCACTGTTAATTTTTATTATATGATGCCATATTGTTCTTTAATTCAGCCGGAATAGCAAGCTGCTTTCGATCTGTACACGTGAGCCGTTTTATTTGTATATTACACAAATGTTTCCACGAAACAGACAGTTTTAAGTGCAAAAGGTGCAAAGTCTGCTTAAAAACGAAACTTTTACAGCGACAACGAGAAAACCGATTCCAGTGTCCTCGGATTCAAATGTGCCGCTCGTGAAGCACATGTTTCGTCCATTGTCGTTTCACAGCCAATCGCGGCACGCAGGGGGATCAATTTTTTTTCGCGAGTGCCGATTGGCCGTCGGCAGATGGTTAGCCAATCGGCGTTACCTGCCGCGTACACATGTCAGATTGATCGAATTTGAAAGAGGTATCGGGCACCGGTCGGCATCGGCTCGCATCGGCTCGTCGTCGTAGGTAAATTTCGAGGCGGCCAAGCTGGACTTTCACGTAGGATGAGTGCTTGAACGCTTGAGATGGTAATAATTCACGGGACACCGTCACCTCTCTTTCTCATTAACGCGTTAATTCCGCGAAAGCTTCCGTGCGCAGGGGATAGGGTTATGTCAACTACCATGCGCTTGTAACTTTATGTAAAATAATTCAATCCGAAAGAGAGAACGAAAAATAGGCGTTTATCCGAGAAACCGGATCAGAGTGATTTGTCTGGCCAAATCTATATCTTCGTGACATAACGGAGTTGCTGAATGCCAACGGATGAAATGTATTGTAAGCTTGTACCTTGTATACTTATGTTGTATCTCTTTCTCTTTTTTTTCGTATGCTTGATGCGCGCAAGATCCGATCGTTCGCGCCGAGTCAAAGGGGGAAACGGCCTTTGCTCCTGGACATACCTGAGGAGGTCGCGGAGTTGACCCTGTTTGAAAGTTGCTCGCAGGAACCGAAGAGAAGAATCAAGAATGTCAAAGACATACGGATACCGGAACACAAAGCTGTTTCTCTTTCTGACAATGGCATCTGCACGATGCAGAAGATAGTGTCCGAGCACGTAAGTTCATTTGTAAACTGCAATCCTTGTCTTATACCTTGGTCTCGTTGCTGACACGATGTATATTGTTGATTAGGAAGAGAGAGTGAGGAGGCTACTCAGCAAACCCTTTCAAATACCGATACCTGGTTACCAATTGTCTGGACGAGTTCTTGGATTACGTCTGCCAGGGCCACGCAGGCCTTTGCACGATCCTGACGAGCCAAATGCCTTAATCGTGTACTCGCCGCCAGAATTGTCGGAGCACGATAGATTGAAGATCGACCCGTGTGTATAGAGACATTTTTACAGTATTCCTGTTGCACGCACGTTTATCTTATGATCGAGCGGCGATTATTGCGTTTACTTTTTGCAGGTGCAAACAACTGGTGCACGTAGTTGTAGATCCTATATTGTGCAATGTGTTGCGGCCGCATCAGCGCGAGGGTGTGAAATTTATGTACGAGTGTGTAACGGGCAAACGTATAGAAGACGCATACGGCTGCATCATGGCGGACGAAATGGGTCTTGGTAAAACACTACAGTGCATAACTCTGCTGTGGACGTTGTTGAAGCAAGGTGAAGAGTCTAGAGTTTACGAGATCGCAGAGAGAAATTGGAAGGAGCGATTGTAATCGAAAGAGTTTTGTGTTGTGTGTAGGTCCGGAGGCTAAGCCGCTGATAGAGAAGGCGATTATAGTCGCGCCCAGCTCTCTGGTGAAGAATTGGTACAACGAGATTAACAAGTGGTTGAATAACATGGTCAACGTCCTCGCCATCGACGGTGGCAAGAAGGCAGACATTGACACAAATCTCACGCGTTTCATGAAGACTTATGGCAGATGCGTGACGCCCATCCTCATCATAAGTTACGAGACGTTTCGCTTACACGCACACGTCCTGCATCAGGACGAAGTGGGCCTCGTGCTGTGCGACGAGGGTCACCGTTTAAAGAATTCCGAGAATCAAACGTATCAATCCCTAATGGGCCTGAGAGCCAAGAGGAGAGTATTGCTCAGCGGAACGCCCATACAGAATGATCTTTTGGAGTACTTTTCCCTCGTGCACTTTGTTAATCAGGGACTATTGGGAACTGCGCAGGTAAACACACAGTGTATATGCATCGGCGATTCACCTGTTACAATTTACGTACTATAACTTATACTGCTGGAAGTATTCTTTCAGGAATTCCGAAGGAAGTTCGAGACGCCGATATTACGTGGTCAAGACGCGGCTGCGACAGACAACGAGCGTCAACTCGCTGGAGAACGTTTGTCCGAGTTGGTGTCTATTGTTAATAAATGTCTCATCAGACGCACTAGCGCATTGCTGTCGAAATATTTGCCACTGAAGCACGAGCTCGTGGTGTGCATAAAGATGGGAGAGCTACAAACGCGTCTCTACAAAAATTTCATACAGAGTGACAGTATAAAAAGATCTGTGGAAGGTACACAACTTAATTTTCTCAATGACATTCTTCGAGATTAAAATTAATATTTCGCTCGCACTATACAGTGATGAAACACGTGAGGTATATTTCATATTCATTGTGCAGAGACCGATAATCCTAAAAAGGGAGGCAGTCTGTCCGCTTTGGCTGCCATAACGCTCTTAAAGAAACTATGCAATCATCCAGACTTGATATACGATAAGATCATGGAAAGGGCAGAGGGGTTTGAGAAAGCTGCGTCGTTGCTGCCGCCAAATTACTCGACAAAGTAGGATTAATTTATTTATTTGACGAAACGTCACTTGTTAAACGAATAATACTTGTTTCAGAGTGCTGCTACCAGAATTGTCGGGCAAACTGATGGTTCTGGATTGCCTACTGGCGTCCATTAAGACCACGACGAAAGATAAAATAGTATTAGTGTCCAATTACACGCAGACTCTCGATTTGTTCGAGAAACTCTGCCACAAACGTGGCTACAATTACGTGAGGCTCGACGGTACGATGACGATTAAGAAACGAGCGAAAGTGGTCGACAATTTTAACAGTGAGAACAGCAACGATTTCATCTTCATGCTCAGCTCGAAGGCCGGTGGATGCGGCTTGAATCTCATCGGTGCGAATCGTCTCGTCATGTTCGATCCGGACTGGAACCCCGCAAACGACGACCAAGCGATGGCCAGAGTGTGGAGGGACGGTCAGAAGAAGCCGTGTTTCGTCTACCGTTTTCTTTCCGTTAGCAACAGAATGAGTGTTTCTGCCGAACAATAAGTGATAAAAGAGTAATAACATAAAATATTCTGTATTTCCAGACTGGAACGATAGAGGAGAAAATATTTCAGAGACAAGCCCATAAGAAAGCGTTGAGTTCGGCCGTGGTCGATCAAGAGGACGACGTGGCGAGGCATTTCACCATAAACGATCTGCGCGATTTGTTCAAGTTGGAGGAGAACACGGTTTCTGATACGCACGCAAAGTACGAAATCGCTGAAACTGTTAGAAACGCTTCGTATCTGGAACATGAGATTAATGCTATTGTTTTTATCCAGGTTCAAATGCAAACGTTGTATCAATGGTATCGAAGTGAGGGGTCCGTCGGAGCAATCCGACTGCAATTCCGATCTGTCCGACTGGCGACACTCGCACAATCCGCGGCATTTACCGGACATACCGTTACGACAGTGTTGGCCTAGCGGCATTTCGTTTGTTTTCCATCATCGCTCACACGAACAAGTAAAATGACTCTTATCTTGTGACGACTCCGTTTGGAAATTTTGTACTCCTGAGTTTGTTATCGGCGACGTTGATAAGAATTGTTGCAGTCAAATTGTCTTCCTACGAAACTCATTTCCACGAAATACGATAATTTTCCTTTCTTGAAAATAGAAACGTGACTAGTCCAGAATTTTACTTAGATACATATACATTTTTTTGTAACTCACGTCTCTTGCATTTGTAATTCAATTGGCTTTGCACAAAGAGATCGTCGCATTTTTCCTAGAAACGCAATTCACGACAATACATGTGTGCCTTACGTTTTTAGCTTTAGATAGAAGGAGATGTGCATATATTTATTGTCTTTCTCTAGATGTATAAACTTGTACACAATAGAATATGTATTTTTAGGATCTCAAGTTAATAAGAAATGTTGCATTTATATAGAAATTAAAATAAATTTTTGTTACATGCCGCTATCTCTGTCAAAGTTAATGCCATAAAGTAACAACGCCCGGGATATATAAAATTCAACGATTTTAAGCAGATCTTGCTGACGATTTATAGAGGATAATTTTTCGATCGTTCAACAAAATAAATTTTTTCAAATAGTGAATTTTCAACTATCAGTTGTTTTTTCAAATTTATTAAAAATCTTTCACGCGATGGAAAATGGTGAATTCGTTTAGGTTGAAATATGCAGATACGTCTGTAAACAAGAAGCTTGTAAAACGACGTGCGATCGTCTGAAGCGATACCGAGCGGGAGTTGATTTTTTGCTCTGCCGCGAAACAAAGTTCGCGTGTTTCGGCATTTTTCCCACGGCCGCTCATTATTTATCCCCTCATCAGCTTTATATCCTTTAACGATGATCCTGTTCTCGCGCGCGCGCGCGCGCGCCACTTAATCAAGCGGAAAACGAGTTTATCATGAGAGCGCGCGCGCCTACCGATGTTTGCGCGAGCGGGATCAAAGTTCATTTAACGACCTAATGAACAGCACGCTTGCGTAATCAAGTGCAATTATTGAAAAATGATCTCGGCGGCGCCGCAGGTTGTACGACCCTTCGTTATCGCTATTCCCGCCCGCGGTTTCGCGCGCCTAGTCACGCACCTGCGCGACTCGCGGGAACCCCCGGGATGTTTTCAGGTCGCGCAGTACAGGCGGCCGTGGGCGCCGCGCCTCTCTCGCGCGCGCGGGACGCGCGACATTCAGGAATCCCGTCTCTCGCGCGCGCGAGAGAGGGGGAGATATCGGCGGCCCCCGCGCGCGCGGCTGGGACACCGTGAGAAAGCGGCGCGCGGGGCGGCGGGCGGTCACGTGACCCGCGGCCGCGGCGCGTGATTGGGTGCCGCGTCGCCTCCTGACCCGCTGCTCGCTTGTTTCCCGTCACCGCCGCGCGCGCGGCCGCCGTCCCCCGTCGGTTCCCGCGGACGAGCGTCTGGCTGGGAGGCTCAGAATAGTTCCAGATGTGGCCATGTTTAGTTTCGATCTCCGAAGTTTTGCGCTCATCGTCATATAAACCGCCTACATTTTTATACTGACTGCTGAGAGAGTAAATAACACGCATCTGTCCGACCGATCTCGTACTCTACGTCTTTGCCTGCGGCTCTCGTTTTGACTCGCTGCATCCACATGCTGTTTTAACGCCCTTGCCGAGAGAATCCGAATCTCCGAGCGACGCAAAAACGCGAACGAGCGAGAGAGAGAGAGAAACAAAGGGACATTTTGTCGCTGTCGCGTGGAACGTCGCTCCGCCGGACCCGTCGCGACGGGACGTCGGAGCCACGGGCGAATCCGTGACGTCCCGTCGGATCCCGTATCCGACTCCCGGTATCGCGAGAACTCGTTCCCGTTCGCCCTCGCTCCGTTCTTCGTTCTCTCGGCAAGAGTCGCGCAAAGGTCCGCTCCGTCGCTCCCTGTCTCTGTCGTTTTCTCGGACGTTCGTCGCTATCCGGGGAAGGAGAGAGAGCGAGAGATTAAAGCGAGAGAAACAACGTCGTTGCCGAAAAAGAGACTCGTGCCTTCGTACGGTTAAAATCGCAGAAGTGAAAGCATCGTTATTTTTGGGGGCCCCGAGGGGGTGGGGTGAAAAGGACTCGCCCGAGAGAGAAAGAGAGAGAGCCGCTTTCTTCTT